CCTTCAAGTTTCAAACTGATATAAATTGTTGTTGCTTCCTATTCTTCCTTGAGTTTTGCAGTGCATTGGTTCGTTGTGGCAGCATTCTTATTCGTGCATGTATTAATCTTTTATACTCAAAGTAATTTGTTTTCTGAATCTAAATTGAAAAATTATTTCAAGGGCTAATGATGATTGACGTAGCTCATACATATGATTTATAACTGAATGAAAGATGGTACCTTCTCAAGAGTATAGAAAAAGTGCCTAAATTTACTGTTATACTGGTTTCATTGTTTAATCACACAATACATTCATCATGCATTATTTGAGTTCAAAGAACATAATATATCTTTGAAAGGAATGAATTTCAGTTCAAAGAGCATACAATTGTCCGATATATCTCAATATGAACTATACCAATATACATCTAATAGTAAGGGATCAATATACATCAAGATGTACATCAAATGAATCAGTAAGAAAAATTATTTCAAGGGCTAATGATGATTGACGTAGCTCATACATATGATTTATAACTGAATGAAAGATGGTACCTTCTCAAGAGTATAGAAAAAGTGCCTAAATTTACTGTTATACTGGTTTCATTGTTTAATCACACAATACATTCATCATGCGTTATTTGAGTTCAAAGAACATAATATATCTTTGAAAGGAATGAATTTCAGTTCAAAGAACATACAATTGTCAATGCGATCTCGATATGAACTATACCAATATACATCTAATAGTAAGGGATCAATATACATCAAGATGTACATCAAATGAACCAGTAAGCTCCTTCCGATTGTCAATGCGATCTCGATGTTCGTACCACTTTGCAAAACCAAGGGAATGTGTCTTATCTGAAATGATTATCGAATGGACCCTAAAGGATGACTAGCTACAATATTGTATGCGCACGTGCTAAACTTTCTTACGTTAATTAATATTGTATACACTCAACTTTGACTATCTTGTGGATAAACCAAAAACATGAAAGTTGATTTGCTCCTTCAACATAAAAATGATGATGAAAAAGAAGGCTAAGCAACTTGACTAAAACTTAATTTACCAACTTTGAATCTGTGGAGGTTTTAATAAGGAGAAATAAGATGTTTGATATATAATGCGCTTGTGCTCAAAATTCAATTGGCCAATCAGTTTAAGACACTGTTTTTATTTGATCTTCTCCACTTACACCTTCTGCAACATAAGTAAGTGCTCGAACCTTCTACATTGGGGAAAAAATCCAAGACCACTTTTGTTATTGTGAGGCGAGTCTTGGTCCCCAAAGCAATGATCATAGTTTGACCCTAAGTCTTAAAGCTAGTGGTTGAGAGTGAAACCAAATGTATATATGGTATTGGGACAATGGACAAGGTGGTGCCACATATAGATATGGTCCACGTGGACATTTCACATTTAGGTTTGGTGGTAATGGGGATATAAAAGTCTTTGGTTTAATTACCAAGAGTTGATACGTACATATGGCTACATTTAGCCCATCATTGAACTTTTGCAATTGCACATTGTCTAGGCAAGTTTACTTAGGGTAATGATTTCCTCACTCCCATTCTGACCACTTACACTTCTTTTTCAGTTATAAAATGGAGTGTAAGTGAACAGCCGCTTCTTAGGCAGTGTAGTTTCAATCTTTACAATTGCGAGTGCTGATGATTGAGCATCATGGTTCACCTACAAAGTAAAGAAACATAAGGAGCAACAAGTATAATTGTAACATAAAAGTAATATGAAGTACTTACTGTTAATGGGGGTGCTTGTTTCTTTCGCTTTTTTGGTGGAGGTTTCGTATAGACTACACCGTCGGACAATGTTCGAGAATTCCTATTACAATCGGATTCGACAAGCTCAAAGGCTGAAGGCAATCTACGAGTAGACTTGTCAAAATTACTCGGACGCCCTTTTGTCTTGATCTTCACTTGTGGTTCTCTAAGTGTTGAGGATTTTGGATCCATAATCTCTTGTAATTTCATACCAATATGTCTCTTAGTGTCAGAATCATTACTTTTAAACCAGTTGACAAATACGCCAATCTTTGCATCTTCAGGAGAATCTAAGTTATCATTAATTTGTGCGGTAGGAAACATATCTAATTTCCTCCAGTGAGGATGAACACAATGAAGAGGAATGGGTCGGAATACTCGACTTAGCTCAGCCATCTCATGAGCACATGGTAACCCGTGGCTACGTCTAATAACGCAGCCGCATGCAATGGGATCAGCCCCGACATATTGTATTCTCTTTGACTCACACAAAATTTCCTCTAAGGCAACAATAGACACATACCCTATCAAGTCTTTAAGTAGGCTCACCTTATTGAATTCATGCTGGACAAATGATTGACTCTTCTCAAATGAAGCCTTTATCTCAGTGTGTTGCAATACTAACATGGCATGAATCTTGGCCCACGATGTTTCGAAGTTGCATTGGCTTGTGCCAAGTTGTCGCTTTAGTTGTGAATGTGCACTTTCTGCCCTATTTATAAACATTAAAACAAGAGATTTAGTATAAGCTAGGAATAATCAAAGAAATATATAGATGATATGAATTATTATTAAATAGTCGACGTACCTATTCGATGTGGTGTTGCCAAAATGCATGCAAGTGTCTGTCCATACAGCCACAAACCTATCTTTGCCCAACATACACTATGAAGAAACTCAAATACTTACCTTCATGGTCTCCTTGTGTTGAAGAGTGGTGGGGTGTGTGGGGTGTGTGTATAGATGTATTAGGGTTAAGTATTAAGTTGGATGACCTTTTTTGTCTTTTTACACAATAATAAAACTTACAGCTTAACCATAACACTATAAATTGTTCCCATTTTTCACCTTTCTTAAGTATGCCCTTGCAAGCCTTCATCACACACCTGTTGATATGCCATCTACATAATAAATGTCAAACACTAGGGAACACATTGCGAATGGCATTCATAAGTGCCATTTCCCTATCAGTGACAATCACACTTGGAAGACAATTTGTATTCATGATGCTTTTCAATCTATTCAAAGCCCACATATAGTTGTCTTCCTTTTCAGAAGAAATATAAGCAAATGCAGCTGAGAATGTTAGTTTCGTCGATGTTACCCCCACAATTTGTAGTAATGGGTATCGAAACCTGTTTGTCTTATATGTGCAATCCATTACTAGTACATGAGGAAATGCGTGCAATAAGTTTACACTATCAAGGTGAGCCCAAAAAAGATCGCTCACACAATTGGTGTCATCAGTCCTATGCCAATTAATATATTTGTGATCAGATAGTCTACATAGCAATAGTTGCATCTCAGATCTACTAGCTTTCTCAACCACTTTGCTTTTGTGTCTAGCATTGTAGATTGTCTTCATTGTTGTTACATTTTTGCCATCTCGTCGTTTAATAGTGTATATGAATGTCCTTCAAGATACTCAGCAGAATGATGGTTATGAACTCCACATACAACCTCAACTTTCCACTCATCTCCAGGACCAATATTTAACCCCTTCAACTGAAACGGGCAACCACACTT